TTTGCATTTCTTTTTCCAAAACTTCTTATCTCGTGTTTTACTGGAAGGAAATAAAATTACGATGTTCTCTTTCCAAAATGAAACACATGAAATATTTTTAAATATTATTTAAAGTAAAAGGGAATAAATGTAATGATACTTCTTATTTTTATTGAATTATTTATCTAATACAAATATGCACAGAAATATAAATTAGGTCTAAGCCTAAGTCTAGGCCACAATTTCAGTCTCGGGGTTTGTGGTTCAAAGTTAAGACAATGCATTATATTGATAAACAAGTTAGAAAAGTGGGGGGGAAGGATACTGCAAAAGGACAAAACTGACAATTCTAGCAAATATAGGATTTGCAAAAATTTTAGAAGTTTGTTTTTTGTTTGTCTTTTTTGTTTGTTTTTTTACTCTATGGAAGCCTGGTCTAATAAAGCCCATGCATGAAGTCGGAGTACATTCACTCTTGTATGGAGGGGTTTGTTTTGTTTTTAAGCAAAGAGGTGGGCTTATTCACTGGGAGACAAATACCAACTTTGTTGAAAAGTGAGGATTACGGGAAAAAACCCCTCATAATTAGCAGAAAGAAAAGATTAGGTCTTATGGAAAAAAAAAACCCATTTATTTGCTGGAGCATGAAATGGCTTACATGATCTGACTAGATCAGCCCACGACAGTATTTTGGCAGTTACTAGTTACCTAAATAAAAACACAGTTTTATGTTTTGGGGGAATATGAAACTGTACTGAGAGAAGCAAATTATTTGGTTTTATTTAGCATTTCAACTTCTACTGTGATTAATAATGGATGCTTAAGATGATCACTGTGTGTTTTCTACGTGATCCTGAGTGATATGGTGGTGGTCTGCCTATGCTTGAAAACATACAGGATTTGTAATATTGCTGTAGTCTGTGGGAGATGCTGTTATTGGGGGGCGGGGAGGGAAGAAAAAGTTTGATTGTTTTATAAAGAGAACAAATATAGGGATGTTTTAAAGAAATCCAGTAAGGAAATCAGTTTTAAACTGACTGATCTCTTGCTGTGAAAAATAACGATCTTTGTTTTTGCTGATGTGATCAGTTTGTCATGATATAACAGTAATATCCAAAAACCAGAAGGTAAGGATTTTGTAGGTGTCTTAGAGTGTCATAATGTTAATTAGTAAGGCAGCATCGTAGAGCATAGGTAGCAGTGACCTATCACTTCCTAGAAATTGTTCAGGGACCTTGTTCAAAATTGTACATGCTTTGAATTTATTTAATCCAGCTACTGATGTGTAATAATATCTAATACAGATACATAAATGTACATCATGTGGTAGTTTCAAGTGTTCTTGGCTGCCAAAACTATGAATTGGTCAGGATGTGGTCGTCTTATCTGTCATTTTCTATTTTGTTCAGACCCTTCTCTGTCTAAATATAATTTATTAAGTTATGTGCATTTGTTTTGCTACTGCCCGATATTGTGTAGAGATTGAGTTGGAGTCTGTGTGTGACTGCTTATTATGCTGATCAGTCTAGATTCCTTGTAGACTTATTTGTGTAGACTTATACTGTCCTTTGTCGTGAAATTGTATTGTTTTGTATAGTGTCTTCCACAATAAGGTGCTGGTCTATGACTGTAGCCCATATGGACGTTTATAATACGCATACAATGGCAATCAGTTACTATTAGCCTGATACCTTTCCTTGTTTTGTGATAGATTAAACACATTGAGGACCCTTGAGTGGGGAAGCGGGGCTTCCCCACTGTACTTGGCTGGCAGTTTATGCAATATGTTAAGCCTCGAGATAAACTGAAGCGGCTTAACATTCTGTGAACGTGAAATTTTGGGACTCGATCTTTCAAGCACTCCCAACATGTTTGTTACTTTACTTGCATGAGGAATGTCAGTGTTGAGTTAAAGGGCTGAGAGTCAGGAAAACAAAGTTTAGTCGTAGTTTTGCAATCCTGACTGCAAAATGCAATTGACTGTACTTTATCTCAACTAGAGAACTACCCACATCAGTTAAATTATGCATATACTTAAATGTTTGCAGGCACATGCAGTAATTACTGCCATATACTCTGTGTGGGAGTATAGTTGAGGATATAGGACATTGTGTATGAACTGGGAGGCTTAGGTTCGGTTGCTGGCTCTGCCATGCAAACTTGTTTGATAGGTGCTCAACACTGCTTCAGAATTTGTTGTTTAAGCAAATCTATCCCATCTGAGTCCAAAACAAATTTAATTTTGAAACTTTGGTTTTCAGAAGTAAGTCTGTGATTTTTTTTGTTTTAATTATTTTTACTTTCTAGGTTATGCTGTTTTTTAATTGTGTTTTACATGTATTACGCAGTTTTATCCTCAGATGAAGTGATGTAGGTTTTAGTAGAGTAGGGAAGTTCCCCATCCTAAGCATGCAGCAATGAACTACAAGATTAGAGTAATAAAAATTTCAAACTAACTCTTAACGGACAACAGACAGTTTGGGTCTGTTGAACTGAAAAGTGGATCTGATAAATTTCCATTGTCCTGAGCATTGTTTAAGTGGGAAAGTTTTGTTGTGGCTTTTTTCTGAGTTGATTAATCATACTAATATTGACATTTTTATTCTTGTGAATGCACAAGTATTTGGATTTTAATTTATGATGCACTCAGTTGAGACTAGATGAACTAATCTCACAGCTCGTTGGTACTGGAAGGGAGGGCTTCTGCCTTGTCTTCATTCACCAGGGCTCTCTTTACTCTGGTGCTTGTCTGACCTGGTAAGCTGCTTCAACTTGCAAAGTTGGCACAAGTCTTGTTTTTTGACCAGTTTTCTGCCAGGTTTGTCAGTTTGTTTAACTGATTTAACTGACATGAGGGCTAGAACTGTGCGGCCAAGAAGGGAAGAAGTATCGGTGAATGTTTCCGTTTCTGCAGCAAGCCATTAAATCTCAGCTGTACTGCCTGACAGCACCTTCAGAAAAGGTCATCCTCCTTTGGAGATAGAGTACTTGTATGAAAGAATATAAGCACAATTACTAATTTAGATTCAAAGAGTAATACCAACATCTTCTTTTCTACTACCAAAATTTTCCCATGTAGACATTCACAAAAAGAAAATTTCATTTTTTTTTTCCAATTTAATAATTCAGGGGGTTTTAATTACAAATATAAAGCAAGTTGTTTTACAGACTGATCTTAAATAGGGTTTCTTGTTACATTGATCAACCAGATTTGCGTCTTGAAGTAATGTGAAGTTGATAGTACTATTTTGGTATTGCTGAAAAGGGAATTGGAAGAGGTTAAAACTCTTATTTTGTGTTAAGATGTACTTAAGTGAACTCTTCAGTCCAAGCAGACAGGGTTGTTGCCCATGTAACCTGGTTGATGATATCACCTTATGACATAGGGGTCAAAGTGTGCATCTCAGTAGATAATTTTTTGGAATCAGATGTTTCACTTTACTGTTATTTGTATACAGAGCTTAGAAATGAGTGCTTTTAGGGTAACTTCTTTATGGGGGAGTGGTAATTAAAATTCAAGAAAATCTGACTTCGATCAAATTGATACACTCTCTGGGGACAACTGGGGGAAAAAAATCTATTGCTGCTTTAAAAGAAAAAGTGCACTTACCATTCATGAAAAATAAAATAAATTACCTATTCCCCTGTTTTGCTGTCTCTGTTCTGGTTATTTCCAAATATATTGCATTCTCTTCAATGGCATTTAGAACATCTTAGCCATACCATTGCTTTTTGCTGAGCTTGCATGTTTCTGCTGATTACGTTATATGTGAAACTGCCCATTTTCCAGTTGTCTTTAAAGGGTGCATATGCCTTGTATTTGCTAATTATAATCCTTTGATTGCTGGAACAGCTGTTTAGTCCTGCTAGAGAGGTAATAATCTGTATAGGATGCAAATAGAATGAGTAACGGATTGCTACAGAATCCTTTTTTACTGTTTATTTTTCATGATAAGCCTCTAATAATTGTACATACCTGCCTTATTTGAGAACATGCTTAAAAATCGCTCCCACAGGAAGTTGTAGTCTTGCCATCTTGTGTAGGAATATGATGTAGCTCTGATACTGTCTTCAGTTTCTGCACATGAAAGACTTTTTGATTAAAAATATTTTTGGTTGAAAATTTGCAAGTGTGAAGAAAGTTCTTAAGATATTCATTGGTGTCTTTTATAATATAGGCAAATCACTACCTTTTTTAAATACTGTTGCTTCTAAATGTGAAACTGCTTTTGAAGCCTTATGCTGGCGTGACAATAGTGGTAGAGGAGAGGGAAAATCCTTGTAGCTTGGAAGCGTGTCCGTTTCTAAGATGTCAGTGTAGTGGAGCAGCCTGCTCTTAAAGCATTTATTTTATAACACAGAGAACTATTATTTTATTTAATGGAACAGTCTGTACAGTATTTAGTGTACTTCTTACATATGGCTAGTCTGGTTGAGGGAGCCTCAGGAGTGACTAAAGACAACGTAACGTGACAGGTCTTTGCATCTTATAGTGGATTCTCTTAGTGACTAGAATAGGTAAAATTCTGTCTTACTATTGATAAAACATTGCATCAGGAAATCATGCGCATAGTTTAATGTTAAAATTTTTTTACAGGCCAGAGTTTGAAAACGATCATAGTCACTACAATGTTTCTATGAGAAGCATTTCCTCATTGGTTAACAACAGTAGGTTAATGCTAGCACTTCCATGCTTCCTTTCACATACTAAAATTGCCTAGTGTTCTCACTTTTCTGTGTGTAAGCATGTGTAATGTTAGGAAGAATATTTTTTAAGTATATGATATTTATATATGTGTATGAGATCTATTGGGAGTCTTGTATTTCTTTGCTGTGTAACTTCTGTGAATTAGTGTTTACTTTATGAAAATTAAAATGTAGTCAGCCATTTAAACTGCCCAAATTTAAAGTTATTTTAGCCAGAACAACAACAAAAAAAGAGGCCCAAAACATTTGTGTGTGTATGCTGATATCTAACTGTTTTTATGTGTATTCATTTTTTTATATTTCTTTTATTTCAGTGTGCAACTGTGTCGTGCACTCAGTGAAAACAAAAGCCATGATAATGTCGGTTTCAGAGGTAAGTTGTGTTGGGTTTTTGGTTGTTTTTAATTAAATAAAAAAAAATCCTGGAAACATGGTACCTCTGCATGTATCTGCTTGGAACATTCATACACGGTGACCATTAATGTGTGCTAAAGGTGAATACTACAAATAGTAAGGCAATACAAGCATCCACAGCTAGGAAGGCGAATACTACAAATAGTAAGGCAATACAAGCATCCACAGCTAGGTCTGTCTTCAGATGTCTAGGTGAGAGATTTCTTAGACAGTAGTAAATGGTGGTGGGGTAGTCCACTATTTGGTCTGTGCTGTAGAAAATGGAATTCCATTTTGCAAACTCAGCATACGACTAGATTTTATTCTAAAAGTTAAATATATGAATACTAATGTATGCAAGTGTGATTGTATACTGGAGAAAGTAATTTCTATAACAGTACCTGAGTTACAGGCTTTTTCTCCTGTTAGTGAAAGACATGGCTGTCTTTAAGTTTTAAATTCTCACTTTAAGAAATCTTTGGTGTTTAAAGAAAAATTAATTTTTTGTTTGCTTTGCAGATTCTGTTGGAAGAAAAGCTTCCATATTACTAACACCACAAATGTGCTATGCTGTTTAGATGGTGTTTTGGGTTCTTGCTAAAATAGTCATAATGGGCAATTGTAATAGCAGAAAAGATAAACCAAAACATTTCAATGTAAATTATAAGTAATATTATTAAGTAAAAAGAATTTATTGTTCAACAAAGCAAAATCACTATTCCCAAAGTTTTTGAAGAAAGGCTACCAGATGTTCTTCATTCTAGACAGAGGTTGACAATTTCTATATGCTGTTTTCTTTTTCTTTGTCCTTGCTGCCAGGATCTAAAAGATCCAGTGGGAATGACTAGATAGATACATGCAGTGGCTATATTGGAGGAATTAATAGACAGTAGAAATAGTTTAAGTCCTTCTGGTGATGGAAAAAAACCTGAAAATATGGATAATCTGGAGTGAGGTACAGAGATGCTGACTGCTAAGAATTTGTTTGAGTCCACGTGACCTCGATCCTGTTCTGAAAACTGCATTGGCACTTGCATTTCTGCCTTTTAGTTCCAGAAAGACGTTTATTGAAGTCCAGTACACCACAAGCTTATGGAGGCAGGTCAGATTTGGCAGTGTACCTGTGTAACACATTCTCCACAATGTGGGGAGCCACTTGCAGAGGCAGGTCTGAGGCTATGCTTATGGCTGGTTTGGGTTCATTGTAAATTATTAAATTGGGTACTGCACCAAACTGTCCTCTTGAATTGGCCTTCAAAGTAGTAGAGTTATGTTTTGCATAGAATTGATGTCTAAACCAATCCTGCTATATTCATGTCTTTAGCAATTAGTGTTCTTTGCCAAAAGCACTGTGATAGGTAAAATTAACCTGTCCGTTTAAAAAATAAATAAATTTGCTTTTAATGCAGCTGCAGTGGTCTGCAGTCACCAAGATAGTGAGTACTTGGTTTAAATCATTAAGCTCTGTAACTTGTATACCCATTGCAAATATTATTTGTTGAGCAAACCACATGGTACAAGTACAAGGTAAAAGCATGGGGTTTTATTATTTTTCATATACCAAAAAGTATAGCAACATTGTGGTGTATTATTTAAGAACAATTCTTTACAAATTTACCATAGCTGGTTTTGCAACCACCATGTTTAACATTGCAAGATTTTTCTCAAATGTAGTACATCCGTTTAATGTTTCAGCTTAATATAAGCTTTTGTAAAACAGCATTCTTCAGTTATGGGAGACTTAAATAAAATAAAATCCTTGTTAAGCATTTTTTTCTCCAATTAAATTTTACTTTCTCCTAGAGAAATGGTTTTTGAAAGCATATCTGATGATATAGGATTAAGACAAAGTACTAGAATGTTTTCTATGTATTATTGTTTTATATATATGTGTAATATGATATTACACATATATATATGTGTAATATACATATATATGTATATGTGTATACACACACACATATATATGTGTAATATGATATTTATGTGAATTAGAAGTCTTTGTTAAACCAACTGCCAAGACTTAAGTTACTATGTGCAGGACTGTAGTTTTTCATCCCATTTTACTGTTATTCCAGAAACTCTCTAGGGAAAGTCGATCATCTCTTACTATCTGCTTGTATGAAGTCTTAGATATTGATGCTCAAATCTAATCTATCAGCAGTAATAAAGTAATCCCCCATTGGTAAGAGAAGCATATCCCGTTTACTTGCAGGGTGTCTGAAGTCTACAGCATTATTGTAAACATTGCTTTAAAAGTTAGACCAAGGATTACCTAGTACGTTCCTTAATCATCTATTTTCTTTCAACAGATATCCAACAGGCTTTGTATGAGCTTGCATACCACGTTGTCAGAGGAAACTTAAAGCATGATCAAGCCTCTAATGTTCTTGGTGATGTCATAGTAAGTATATATTTGTAATAATTGCAAACTTACTAAGTTTTTAGTTTGTTAGAAAAGTCGGAATGAAAATCAAGCAGGATAATATTCAACAGACTTGTTTTTCCATGTCTAAAAAGTTGTTCTTGTCAAATCCTTTTTCTTCATTTGTGTGCACTTGAAATATATGTAGTCTGTCAGGGTTTTGTTTTTTCCCCTACTTTTTGCACTGCGGAATAGATATATTCATTTTAACATAAATTAAAAATTAAATAATTTTTTAAGGGTGTATGAAGACTGATGTTTTTAATAAATGCTAAAAATAGATTTAACTTGCTTATGCAGCATGTCTGTAATGCCACCTACTGGTTTTTATAATTTACATCTTTCTTACAGTGTAATAATGTGCATGTCTGCCATTTTACTATTGAGATGTCTTAAGTCCCACGACTGCCTTTAAAATAATGCATTAGACTTATTTTTTGTTTGAAAAAGGTTTTTCTTAAAATGCTTTGAATAAATAGAGAAACGAGGGAAAAGAGTATTTTCTTCTAAACTTCTAAGGTTACCAAATGTTCCTAAAAAAAAAAAAAAAAAATTCTGGGGGGAAAAAAATTTTAAAAAAATCTCCTAAAAATGATTTCTTATTCTTTTCAAGTTCTTAGATTGCTGTTTTGACATGTATAGAACATTAAGAAAAAACACCTTTGTCAAAACAGCAATCTAAGAACTTGAAATGTATAGAACATTAAGAAAAAACACCTTTTGCAGTAATCTGTTCTAGGATAACCTTTTTAGGTTTTTAAACTTCTGCATTGGGTTTGAGAGAAGTCAAGGCTGAAGTGCACCTTGCTGTTGGGGTAGCATGTGATAACGTTTGATCTTTAGTTACCGTAGGAAATTGTAATTTATTTGGTGCCTGAGAAAGCGTAGTTTACTGTACAGGCTGGTGCTGCTCTTCAGACAGGGAGTTCCATTGTGCTAGAGAAATGGAGGTAGTAACCAGAGGGTTTTGTCCCTGGCCACTAGATACTCTTTTAAATTACATGAAAATGTTATTTCATTACATATCAATAATTAGTACAGCACTTATGTTAGATATTAGTCAATAATTGAGCCTTTTAATCATTAATTAATCTGAATTATTAATTATTATTACTAATGATATTAATAACCTGCATTATTAATTAATCTGAACTTACTTTATGATGAAGTGTTGTTTTATGTAATGGAATAAGAATTTTCTAAGTATACATATTGGTGTTTCTTTATTCACTAAGTGTGATCATTTTCTTTTTTAGGAATTTCGGGAAGACATGCCTTCCATCCTAGCTGATGTGTTCTGCATATTAGGTAATTTGGGTTCCCTTCCTTTCAGCATTACGACAGATTTGGAGAAGTAAAAGCTTTGTGTGTTTGCTTGTTGACTTCTTCAGGAAATTTCATTTGTTGTTGATGTTTTCTCTATGGTTCTAATTTTTCCTGTGGGTATGTGTGGAGTGGTTTTGTGTGGTTGTGTTTTGCTTGGTTTTTGTAATGTCTGCTTTCCATTCTTTTATTGAGTTTTCCACTCCTTTTGCAGCTTGTCGCTTCCTGTAATGATGTGCCTTTTTAAACTACTTTAGAGGGGTGTGCTTCCTTGGCCATTGTTTTATGGCCTGTCTTCCCATAGGAGTGAATTTATGAATTGCATTCAGTAGTTGACAATGCAAAAGAAAAGAATGGAAATAGAGAATCATAGCTAGTAAAAGACTGTGGACCAGGCAGTAAATGGTAGTTACTCTGAAGACACAGGGAAGGAGACTAGAACATTACATTAAGGCTAGGATCACACAGTTATTTTAAGTTCTTTTTTCTCTTACAAAACAAGAAACTCTTATAAATGCCTCAAGTAATGATTTCTTTTTTCCTTTTTTTTTTTTCCATCTTCTTTTATACTAGATATTGAAACAAGTTGTTTAGAAGAAAAAAACAAGAGGGATCATTTTACTCAACTGGTGTTAGCCTGTTTGGTAAGTTGCACTTAAAGTCTTTTGGTAAAAGTATATGTCAAAATCTAACAAGAAAAATCAGACAGTTTTGAAGCTTGCTTTTTTTTTTTGAGGAAGAGACTATTACAATGTTTTAACAAATTCCCAAATAATTTAAAAATGCATCTTCAAAGTGTTATGATAGAGTAATATAGTGTAGTTGTCCCTTGAATTCTTTAAAGAGTTTTGAGTTAGCTTAAATTTTTCCCCCTGTCTGTTCAACAGAAATTTTGCTTCTGAAGTATGTTTTGAGTTGGACTTCTCCTTTATGCAACCTCCTGTCTTTAGAAGTGGCATTCCTAACCACATGGAATAAGCTTGATTTGTAGGAGTATTCAGCATATGAAAATAAGACTTTTTCTCCCAGAATATGAGACAGAATGGGTATGAGCTTTGTAAACACGCAGTTCTTGCAGGTAATATCCCTAGATGATATGCAACATATACTTTGTAACAAGCAATTAAGCTCTAGGGCTTGTTTCTTCAAGGTGCTCTTATATATAAAATCTACCACTGTAAAATTCCAATTTCACCTAAATAGTTTCTCAGTTGTCACTTCTATGTTTGAAGCAGAATGCATTTAGTATCATGGTATGTCATGATATTTGAACTTTTTTTTGTAGTCAGAATGCATATGTAGTGTTATATTATCCAAAGTAATAATCAGATGGTTTCTAGGTCTTTGTAACTGACAAATTTGATGTATGTTTTTGGTGTTTTTTAGTATCTTGTATCTGACACTGTCCTAAAGGAGCGTTTAGATCCAGAGACACTGGAGTCATTAGGACTTATCAAGCAGTCTCAACAGTTCAATCAGAAATCTGTTTAAATAAAGACAAAACTATTGTAAGTTTTGGGGCAAGGGTTGTTTGGGGAGTGGGTGGGGAGGGGCAATGGTAATTAGTCTGGTAACAATGTTTTCTAACAATGTGTAATGTTTCTTTTAATAAAATACTCAGTTTTCTTTAGGAAATGTGTTTTGTTGCGCTTTAACGTGTCATTGACAAAAGAACCTCGTTAGCCCTCTTAGTTTTCAAACTCTTGAGAAATGTAAAATCTTTTTTAATGTCACCTATTGCTATGGCTTTTGCTAGTGATTCCATATATGCAGATTAAATACTTAATATTTAATTTTATTTGTGACAAATGTGAACTTAGTATAAGAAAATTAATTATTGCTGTTGCATCAATTAAGCATAGGCATTTGTTTTCATAAATAAGCAAATATAGTTATGTTAGTTTTGGCAACACAGGTTGTATTTTTGTGGTGTACGTTTGGTTTTTGTCTCTGCATCCAATGTTTCAGTCTCAATCTCAAAGAACACCACATGAAACTAGAATAGGTCCTTAAGCACAGACTGTTACAGAGCAGTTCTCCAGCGTAGTGTGCAAGAACAAGCTTTACTGTTAAGTATAAGCATAATCTTGCTTTTAAATGGTCTGCATTTGAAATAAAAGAAGAGCTGTATTTGCTTGGAGAATGTTCTCTACCTTGCAGGTATTAATTGTACTGCATTCTATAATTTTTGCAATAGCTCAAGTAAATTACAAGTTCTTAAAAATGTGTTCAAAATTAGCATTTTGTATAACAAATTTAATATTGATAAGAGCATAAATAAGCTTCACTGTGGATGTGTGTTACACAATAGTGTTCAATTTCTGTTTATTTGCAGTTATAAGCAACAGAAGTTTAATTTGTTAAGAGAGGAGAATGAAGGTTATGCAAAGCTCATTGCAGAACTGGGGCAAGACTTATCTGGAAATATCACTAGTGATTTAATCCTTGAAAATATCAAATCTTTAATAGGTAAGGAATTTGCTGAAGGAACATGGGCACTGGTTTTCCTACATGGTCTTATGACTAAGAGAGTGACTTCAGCCTGCTGTTTGAGATGATCTGTGGATCAAATAATACGTCATGCAGGCGTGTAGTGCGATAGAAACACGTATTGGTAGATCACCTTGGATAGAATTATGACATTTGGAAGTTCCTGTTTCTGTGGCAAAATTAGTTTTGGGAATGTTGTGTAGTTTAAACTTAATTTAGATACTGAATTTACAGTACAGCCTTAAATATGCATGCTGTGATTTTGATTCATTTCAGCAGTATTTTTTGAGGATGCACTTGTCATCTCTTAGCAGGCAGATTGGAGTGTAACAAAGTAATGCTTTTTGCTATTTTAAGGTGCTCGGTTCAATGCATGAATATTCTTTTAGTCTTAAAGAGGTTGAAGAAGTGATTCCTTATGAAGAGAAATGAGAAGTAGTAAATGTTCTTCCTTTATCTAGTTCTGTTTCTGATTTGTCCATATTTCTAAGTTGAGTCTTGGCGAGTGTCACAATCAAAGTGCAAAATACATTAAAAACAGGAAATATCTGTAATTCCCCATATTTTACACTTCCTTTTTGAATAAAGAGTTTTATACAATATATTGATGTTTGCACCAGTGCCTGTTTCATATGGTGCCAGTGCAGTAATGGTCAAAAGGCTATGATACTATTTTATAAAAGATAATTTTTCATCTATCACAGAATGTTGCCTGAGACTGTCAAATCCCTGTAATAATACTGCTTGTTTTGGAAGAGAGCTAGAGAAGAAGGTGGTTTTTTACTGTAATAACTAGCAAAATACACACTCAGTTTGAGGAATTTTATAACAAAATATTTTTCTGTCTTCTGGAATTTTAGGAATTGCAAGTAGACTTCCTAGAAATTGTCAAGTCTTTTAAAGTACTGACTTGCAGTAGGTCCTGGTATAGTGGAAATGGCTTTTGGGAAGGAAAGACTGATGCAATTACATATCTGCACAGTGGATGTGCCTGGATAAAACTTCTCATGGCACAATGAAGAAAATAGTCTAGATGTGGATTCTTTTGATATAAGTAATATTTCGGTCTCAAGCATGTCTCCTGGAGTTTTGGTGGAAAAGTTTATATAGTAAAATAGAGGTATGATTACAACATTGGCGTACCTGATCTATGTCCTTGCTCTTGCTCCCCTCAAAATAAACAAACTGTTCTCCCTAATGCTAGCAATAATACTGAATTAACAGGACAGTACAACCAGGTGGATCAGGTTGTAGCTCAAACCAGAACAATTTTTGGGGTGTAAAATAATTTCTAGCTGGCTGATTTGTGTGTCTGCATGAATATGTGTGCCAGCACAAGGGGAGAGGAAGCAGCCCATGCCTTTTGCTGGCACTGTGGTATGAGTGAGGTTGGCTTTTTACGTATTAAATATTTGCATTAAGATGGTAATTTCTAGTTTTTCTGTAATCTGAATTGAAAGTCCTGTTTAGTATCTTTGCCTAGTTCAGTATTCAACATAAGTCAAAATGATTGATGCTGTATTTACAGATGATCCAGATTATTTTGCTGTAGATAAATCCAGGCTCAGTTTGAACTGAAAAGCATTAACTTTAACACATTTGTGGTTTAGTAACAATGAAAATGAAAAGTAGCAATGTTAAACTTCTCTATTCTGTTCTTCTCCACTAGGATGTTTTAACCTTGATCCTAACAGAGTTTTGGATATTATCTTAGAAGTCTATGAGTGCAGGCCTGAGTATGATGACTTCTTTGTACCACTGATAGAGTCTTACATGTACATGTGTGAACCTCAAACTCTATGCCATATCCTTGGGTTCAAATTCAAATTTTATCAGGTAATGTATTTCCATTCTTAATTTTTGTTTTTGGTGGTTGGTTGTACTCAGTGTTGAACTGCAGTCAGTGATAACAGATTTTTGCTGCAGACTTTTTTTTTTTCATAGAAATTAATTTCTGAATTGTAAAATTCCAGTATTGAAAGCAGTAATTTCATGATTTGAGTGGAAGTCTCTAATGTATGTTAGAGGAGAATGCTTAGCGTTCTCCAAGACAGCTGAAAACAATCTTGATACCTTCCATTTGAACTAGTATAGTTATATAAGGACTGGCATTAACAAAGAGATTGTACCTTATAAACAAAAGAGTTGTCCCCAGGAGTGAAGAGCATGTTTGCAAGGGAGTCATGGTTGATATTTGATAAAATATTAAAGGTTTTTAAAAATGTATGGTTAGGAATTGCATACAAGCACCATAAAGTGTGAAGATAGTTGAATGTGTTTGTTTCTGAAAATTCTGATTGTGTATCGCAGTTAAGTCTAGTGGCTTTGGAGTAATAGCAGTTAAATAACACGATAACAAGGAGAACTGTGGGTTAATATGTTTCATCTGAACTTTGAGTAGTTTCTTTTCTGTTTCATGACCTTCTGCAGTGGTTTGATTGCTTTTTTCTTAAATTTGGATTCTTGTCCTTTTTAGGATCCAAGTGGTGAGACACCTTCCTCCTTATACAGAGTTGCTGCTGTCCTTTTGCAACACAATCTCATAGATTTGGAAGATCTCTATGTTCATGTAAGTGACAGTGCTTCTCTGTCAAATGCCAAAACTAAGAAAATTTTTAAAAAAACAAATATTTTACCCTATTCCTAAAGCTTCAGATTCAGGACATAGTATGTAATACCTGTATGCGTACATGTTTAATGTCTTTTAAAATTTCCAGCACTTTCTAATACTACATATTCAGATAAACACATACTGAAATATGGATGCTGATACACTTTGAATTATCTGTGTAGCATCCTCCAGATTGTTTACCTCCTGCCTGAATAGGAGATAGGAGGTAAATGCCTGATATGCTTTAAGTGCCCAAGTAACCTTCCTTAAGAACTAGACCGTTTGAGTGTTTTGCTTTACAAGATCAATTTTTGACAAAAGTGGTAGGACAATCAGCTCCTAACATTCTTTGTTTAGTTAATAGTAGGATTTTTTTTAAATTTACATATTTCTGAATAGGCCTCTGATTCCATCTACAAGAATTCTGACCATTGGTTAGGTTGAAAGAGGAAAATGGAGTTACATGTTCAGATTTAATCAAAGAGACTTATCCTCTCCAATCTGACAGTCTTATCAACCAACCAACGTACCAATTTGGCAGATGGTAAACAGAATGTTATAGTTATCAAAATAATTTTACATTGTACATGAATTTTTAATTTCAGAATATCCATAGATATTTTAAGACTTTTAACTCTTCTACAGAAATCAAGGAAATGAGCTCTAGTTACAGCTATGAAAACTTTGGAATGTAGTCCTGCCATTAATTTGTGTGGCAGTTAATAGCATTAGTCACAATCTGACTTGTCAGTAACTGTCTCTGGCTTCATAGGAGTTTTTTGGCTAAAAACGTGTCAGGTAGAGCAAGAGTAGGAGTGCATGTCTCAGATAATCAGTGTGGAGGGAGGAATATGTGATAATGCTAGTTTGTTAAGGAATGTTTGTAAACTTACAAAACAAATGCTCAGACTCAGAATTACAGTGGCCTGTGCAGTCTCAACTCAGACCCGTATAGGTATGGGCATGTTTTCTGACAGTCTCACAGGTAGAATGGTCCCTGCGTTCATTTATACTGTTCACCTTCATCATGTTGAGTCTCAGTATCACTTTTAATCTACTTTCATTCTAGAATCTCTCTGCCAGTCTCTCTGTCTTTGTCTTTGCATGTTTGGGATGGCATTTTTTTTCCTCTTTTCAGTTCAGGCTTAATTTAACTTGCTATGGGAGTTTCAAGAAAATAATTAGTGTGTAGGTGTGGAGTGTTAAGTGGTATATATTGTGCAGCTCCTATACAATAGCAGCTGTCAGGATTATTGTTCATATCAAGAATGTTCTCCCCATCTCTGCCCCCCCCCCCATCCCCTTCCAAGCCTGTAAGAACTGTTTTCCATTTTTGTGTATATACACACAGCCATATGTAACAAGTATTGCATCCTGAAGGTATAATTTACCCCTTGAAATTCCACACTAGGTATTTCTTGGTGAATCTTAGTAGGTTACCTGTGTTTTCAAATGAGAAAAGTGTAGCTCTTTAAATCTTTTGCCTTTCCAAGTGGGATTCTTTCTTCCCCAAATTTCTATGAAACTGAGGAATTCTACTATCTTTTCTCTGAAGAAGCTGATGCTTAGTCTTTCCTTCTTCTACTGCCCGTTTGGGAGGGGAAAAAACAGTAAAAATCTTCCCTTGTTAAAAACAATAGAAGAAAAGATTACTGTATCAAAGAGGTCATAACTCTACAGTAAGTTTTGATTACTTACTTGCAGTTAAAGGCTGAGCATGATTTTAGGAATCAAATTGAAGTTTGGCTTTCTCAGAAGAAAGAGCTTTTCTGTCGCACAACTTGACCTTTTAATTTTTTGAGTGTGGGGTTATATTTCTCACCCTGATCGTTCTCAAGTACGAGACTATGTTGAGGTTTTATCATACTAGGTATCTCTTAATGTAAGATGTTTTTTAAGGAACAGATGTTACATGTGTTTAACCCACATTGCTGATAAATAGGAAATTTGGTAAGCTTTAAATGGTATTCCTTTAAAATAAAGTGCAATCAAAATGTGTGTCTAAGTAGGTTACCTGGTTTTCCTTGGTGATGAAGTTTTTTTTTTTCTTTAGATGAGCAAGTGAAAATTTATGCTTTTGAATATTCACTTTGTTTTAAGGCACTGACCTTTGTAAATGTTATCATAAAGTATGTGTGTAACTGTCACCATATAGCTACAGTGGAGTGGTAAATCGGAGAGGGGAAGGGGAGCTTATACAACTAATGGTTGTGAGGAAGTAGAACAGTATTATTTCTCCTGAGTCCTTGATTTCAGAATAGTCTGTTAATAGTATATTTCCTTGTTGGGATGATGGTAGCAAGGAAAAGAATCTTTCAGGGAGTAAGTCTATCTGATAGTAACAAGGAAGGAAAAACTTCTTTTTCGAGCTCAAGTGATCAAAAGTAGCAGTAGGTCACTTTAATTTTCAGATACAATGTTTGCTCTGGCTTTTTTTTTAGCTTCTTCCAGGGGATAATGCCATCATTGAGGAACACAAGCGAGAAATAGTGGAAGCTAAGCAAATTGTCAGAAAACTTACGATGGTCGTCTTATCCTCTGAAAAGACTGAGGAAAAGGAGAAGGAAAAAGAAAAAGAGGAGGAGAAAACAGAAAAGGTATGTTTTGTGGATAGTTTCCTTTCCAAGAAAATTATTTCCAAGAAAATTATTTTAAGTTATTTTAAACTAAATATAATAATTGTTATGAAAACATTTTTATATTTATTTGGAACAGACAGGTATGTAGTTCTTGGAAGGCTTTTGTCTATCCTCTGAGTGCACTTCCATAATATTGAATGTACAAAAATGCATGGTTTGCAGCTTGTTCTGGATTTCTGTAGGTTTAATGTTCTTGGTTCAATGGCTAATTAATTTCTTTCCTCCCTTTTTGTTGTATCAGCTCCACTGAATATGACCCAGCATTCATATACTTCACAATCTTTAACAACTCTGTTTTCTAGGACCTGTGATAGTATAATCCTAGTTGATTTCTTAAATAAGGACATTAGTAAGAGTTTACTCCTTATTTCTCCCAATCAAGAATTGGGATAAAGAATTGCCAGACTTATGAATGCTGGTATAATTATCCTGCATTGTAGAAAAAGGTTTTAACTGAACACTTTTAGTTGTAACTGTCCACTGTGCTTTCCATTAGATCTGTGTCTTTGTATGTGTGAATGTATACTCTTCATTTAAGGTGCTACTACATCATGTATTGTTCATGTTGCTCTAGGTCCAAGTTGTTTCAGTGTGTCCAAGCCTTACTTTAAAAACAAAATTATTTATCTTAGCAGCCTTTCTGTTGTCATCTTCGTTTGAGTGTCTTAAGTACTGCTCAAACATCTTATTTAAAACAAAAAAAGTAAAATAAAAGCTTGATATTTGCATTTTATAAGTGGTGTACTGGAGAGGGGGGAGGGGTCCATCAGTCTTGACAGTTTCTGTTCTTAATTTTCTGTATCCTCCTAGATTCATTATATCAATCTGTTTTGTCTACTTATTCCTATTTTTTTCTACCCCACCTTGATTCTGTACATCTGACCTTCCTTCCTCCCTCCATTTTTCTTGCCTAGTTTGAAAAATCTAATTTCATTTTCTTCCCTCAGGCAGCTGATATAGTCACTGCTCTCTGGCTCTCAACTGCAGCCACATCTGCTGCTTAAACTGATTCCTTTCACTAGCTTTAAGTTTTTGATCCCCCTCCCACTCATTATTTCAGTATCCCTTTTGATTATACCACATTGCTTTGGTTCACCTTCTGTGCAGTCGGATGAGGCTGCCTGGTATTCCCTGAAGCGTGCACATTGCCATGTTCTGATGGAAAACTAAACTCTTGATGGGACATGGGGAGTGTGTATATTGCAAGTAATGTCAGTAGAATTAAGACAGTTTTTATGGCTAGTTTTCCATCAGAACATGGCAAACTCTTGATGGGACATGGGGAGTGTGTATATTGCAAGTAATGTCAGTAGAATTAAGACAGTTTTTATGGCTAAGCTTTAGAATTAAGAACTAGGGAATTTTAAGCTCCAGCAGAAACTGCAACATTTTTCTGAAGGATTACAATGACAAATAATGAAGTCTGAGCCTTTGTGACTGGAAAATGGAGAGCTGTACTTAACAAAAACAATTTCTGTGACTCTTTACACAGTTATGCAATGCATGCTGTTTCTTGAAAAGCTTGTTTCTGTGTTAGTATTTTTGTATGTGATTAGCTGTGAAATTCATAGCAATTAGTAGAGTAACTACATGTGAAAGCTGTTGACAGTCTAAATTTGAGTACTTTATATCCACTGTGCAGTTTTAATGTACAATTTTTTGACGTGGTACCATGGAATAAATGCCTGGATAAGGAAAATAGTGTTTAACGATTACTGACTTAACTTTTCTTTTAAATCCACAAAGTGCTTGTTTTTTGTGGCTAAAATTTATTATTGTCTTATGACTTTAATATGAATAATTTAGTACTGGCAAATGCACTATCTACTTTTGCCTTTTAAGATGTGCTTGACATAACCGAATAATAGGGAGATACTTGAGAGGTCACAGAACTCAGCAGTATGGCTAGATTTGACAGCAATTCCAGACTGACTCTTCTCTGTGCCATGCATGCTTTTGCTTTTGGAGAGCATGTTTCAGAAGAGCTTGCTTACCTAAAGAGAGACCCGGTCAAGCAGCATGCGTGTGTGTGAGCAGTGACTGCTTTGGAAATAGCATACTAACACATAAAGCCCAGAAAGGCTGTGTGATAGAAACATGGATTCCAATATAGTTAGTAATCACCCAAAAAACCCCAATCACCAAAAATTTGGTGTTTAGTATTGAACTTTAACTGGTATGTTCATACCAATTAAATAACTGTTTTATGATGGGTTTTTTGTAATAATACGACTTCTAATTTGAGAAGTCTATTGTATTGAACATGGATTTCAACCTTTCTGCGTATACTGCACAAGTAAAGTTTTTAAACACTTCAGTAAAGGATCAGCATACCCTTTTGTTAACATGGTATATATTGACTTAAAAAGACAATTCTTGGCATCAAAGAAACTTGAAGTAGTTACATGGTAAAATAACATTAGTGTGTGCATTTCTAATTGCACATGTATCTTTTTAATCTTTCAGAGGCTCATCTTGTTCTGATGTGCAGATACATTTTTTTTTTATCCCCGAAGGAAATACTAAAATTTCATTACTACAGAACTTCAACGTGAATATAGAACAGATCTGTCCATTTTGTTTTGTTCTGAAACTTTCCTCTGCATGTTACTGTGTACTAGACTGTTTTCTGTTTTCAAAACTATGAGAAAAATAGTTGCCAGTGTTATAAAGAAGTTTTAAAAGGAAAAAAAATACTAAAAAATCCATGCAAATCATAGAACCACAGAAGCATCTGCTTTGTAATTCATTTTTGTTCTTGTCAGTCTGTCTTGTCTGTTTGCATGATTTAAATAAAACTAGTTTTTTGCCTTAAAATGTTTAAACGTTTTGTCCTAGACTTGTAATCTTCCCTCCCTTGGTGTAAACATCATCTTAGGCTTGTAGTTACCTACAGCTAGTTTGCCGTCACTATTCCTTACCATTAGTCATTTACAAATAGACTTTTACCTTGGGGACCAGGGAAAACCAATTTATAACAATAAAATATATCAATACCATGCCTTCAAGCATTTTTACATGGGCATGGTCTTAAGAGGAAATAGTTTACAATTATGCCTATATTGCAAAATGGGATATTTGGAAAACTTCCTGTAGACTTGCACTTAAAACTAGACTCTCCTAGAGTAGAAGCTAATGTGAAACTTATGATACAGACAAACTAAGAGACAGGTAAAGGTTCTGGGTTTGGTTTGGTGTTGTGTTTTTCTTTGTTTTTGTTTTTGTGGTTTTTTTTTTAAGTAATCTGATTTTTTGCAAGAGAAATTCATGCTCTTAAATCCAGAACAACACACAATATGAATGATTCTTAAATGCTTGCATTGTTCTTAAAATGTTATGTAAAGAAATAAGCTGCAATAGATTGTGACGTTTTGAAAAGATCAGACATATGTCAGATAACTTTATAAACTTCTGTTTTGAACTTTAACTCTTTTCTTTGATCCAGATGTTAGATTCTACGTGGACTGGTTTATAGCTTTTGAAGTGTGCTTATTGTCTAAATGTCTAGCTGAATTTTATTTTACATTTTTTTTTTATTACATAGTTGAAATAGGTTCTTTTTTTTTCTTCTCTAGCTGTGAATTACAATTTTTTTATTACATAGTTGAAATAGTTTTTTTTTTTCTTCTCTAGCTGTGAATTACAGCTGCATACTGCTTAAGGAGAAATATAAAGAAGACTTTAGTGATACACTTTTTCATTGTTTGTTATCTTGCAGCCTCCTGATAATCAAAAGCTTGGTTTATTGGAAGCTTTATTAAAAATTGGTGATTGGCAGCATGCACAAAGTATTATGGATCAGATGCCTCCGTTTTATGCTACTTCACACAAGCCTATTGCGATCGCCCTTTGCCAGCTTGTACATGTGACAATTGAACCTCTGTACCGCAGGTAAAGTGAAAAGGAGAATTCTGTTGCTACATAGGGGAAAACTACTATTTATTTATAAGCATGGATTCACTAATAAGCCTAACTGTATTGATACATTTCTAAAATTTTCACTTTTGTTTCATGTGAAATGCTGCACATCTTATTTTTCAGAGTTGGTGTACCTAAAGGAGCTAAAGGGTCACCAATTTCTTCTTTGCCAAACAAGAGAGCACCAAAACAAGCAGACAGCTTCGAGGACTTGAGAAAGGAAGTGTTCAACATGCTTTGTTACCTTGGTCCTCACCTCTCCCATGATCCCATTTTATTTGCAAAAGTGGTGCGCCTTGGAAAAGCATTTATGAAAGAGGTTGGTATGACAGAACAGCTTGTCAAAACTTGAAAAATACCAATTCCTCTGATGTCAAAAAATGCTCAAGTCTTACTAATTGTGTATATATTCAAATACTGAAACATTGACTAAGGACAAATCTGGAGAATCTTATTTCAATTCTTGATCGTTTTTATGATCAATAAACATAACAAACGTTTTTATGAACAACTTAAGGCACTTTAGGTTTATAACCAGGAATATTTAGTGATAACTGATTTCTCATTATGGTCTTCATCTTTTAAAACAATATCTGTGTATGGATTTTTTTTAAAGAAACGAACATATGATACTAATTGCATGGAAGCTTTTACATTATTAGAGCGACAGTGTAGACAATGGGGAACAATAACCTAATACATATCCAGTACTTAAAATAGTACTTTCTATTCCACATGTTAGGTTACTTGTGAAGTAGGGGATGTTGCATCTTTTTAATTAGTGAGGTCTCCCCCTGTTCTGCCAGTTAAAATGCTGCTATTCTTGAACTTGTGTCAATGACAAATCTCTGGATGCCACTAAGGATGGGTTCAATATGGGGATCTCAAACACCGTATAAAGCCTCAAGTTGCCAACTTTAGAAATAAAATGGCCTCTTGAGATTTGTTGTTGTCTTTTGACCATATCTTTACCATGTATATATTGAAAGATTGGTAGTATGACCTGTTTTAAAAGGCTGCAAATTGAATTTATATTCTGAACTCCCCTGGAATGTACTCAGTAGCTCAGACTGAGGCTAGTGATTTCTTTGGGTACTTTTCTGGCAATTTGCTATTTGACTAGCAGATTTTGTTTTATTTTCAAGTCAACAATAGAGGGTTTTAAAATTTTTTTTTTTAATAGAAGCTCAGAGAAACTTTGGAATTCCTAGTTTTTGAAATTTATTATTATTATTTATTATTATTAATCAAACCACACACACCTCAACTTAAAAATCACTATTTTTGTTACCTAGCTTTTTATTTTAACTTACAACTGAAAGTTGGAGAGGTTGGTTGATCTAAATGGTACTAGAGGGGAGATTTTCAGTTTTATAACTTTCTTTTTCTTAAAAGTATTTTTTTATTTCAACTACAACTAACAAATACTGGAACGTTCAAAATTTACGTACCACCTGAGGGGAAGCTTTCATGGCCAGCTGTACTTGATGCAGAGCTAAGAACACGGCTAATTCTTGGGATTGAAGATCTTTTTGTCTAATTTAACAGATTTTGGCAAGAGAGTTTGCTCTCATCAGGTTCCAAGATGCAATGATAGGGTGACAGAAGCTACACTAAGTTTGGGTTCCAAGTAGTCTTTGTAATAAAATCATGAAAACTTCAAGTGGTTCCATCTTCCCCTACTTCCATATCTTTGTAGGAGGTATAATTTCTCAGCATCTTCTCATCCAGAATGATAAGATTTCCCAATGGTTAATACTCTTGTTTTATAGCATGCTTATTTCTTGCTGGCCTGTGAGAAGACTGATGTTTGCCTGATATGCTATGTTGCAGTGACAATGCAATTAATTTGGAAATTATAATTTCAAGGGAATAATTCATTTTACTGCAGACTATTAGGACTACTTTGTAATTAAGTTCAAGTACTGAAGGTTTGTGAGAAAGGCCTTATTTCTGTGGATATGTACAGTAGAATGGAGATTACTTGGTTATAGGAATCTCTTGTGCAGTTTTACTGTAAATATATGAATATAATAGTTTAATGTGTTTCTGACAAGAATGAGCAACATTTTAGCTATTTGCTCTAGGTTGGAACTGTGAAGAAATTCGTCAGTGACAGAGTGGTTAAGGTAACATAGGGAAAGTTATTTTAATGCACTATTGCCATCAGCATGTTGTAGTTACGAAACTACATTTAACACACAGTAGAAATACTTATAACTGGAGGTGATTTTGACTGTAAGTTAACCCATACAGTAGTTTAAAAGTTAGACTACTAACATTGCACTGCAGCTTTCATGCTCAAGTGTACCTTTAAAATGATTGTGCACTTACTGGTGTGATAGCTTAATATGCCTTTCACGGTGAGCGGAACAAGAAGAGAGAAAAGAAAATAATTTAATAATGAAGACAAAAAGCTTAAGAGGGTATTATTGTGAGAGAAAGGTGGGGAAAATAATCTATGGCTGGTGATAATTGGGTTGGAAATCCTGGGGTGATTTTAGGTAAAAGGTGAATGCTTAGGGCATTTTTTTTTCCTCTCCTCCAGTAAGAAAATTCAGTATTTCATATATAATAGTAAGTTTCCGTAATATTTTAGTTCTTACCTCTTTTTGAGCAAAAGTGTACAAAGCCCCTATATATGTAAGCAATGCATTTTATCTATGCATTTGAATTTCTGTTCAAAAATATTTTAATGCTGACAGATCTGGAAAATTAAACATTTACTAGACATGTGGCCCTTTATGCTTTTGCTGAGATAGCCTTGTTCTGAAACTGTAACTGTTACGTTAACTATGCTACAATTAACATGATTGTCTTTTGTTATAGTTTCAGTGTGATGGAAGCAAACAAGAAGATAAAGAGAAAATGGTGAGTTTATTTTGGAGGATGGTGTTTTTATGCAAGATTTTAATTGAGACCAAATGTTTAATAACTGTACAACTCTCCTTTTTCTGTTGAGTTTTATGCTTTAACAAATATACGTTATAGACTTGTCTTGATTTTTTTATAGGCAGGTTTGAGCCAGTCATGGGTTTTTTGTATTCCTGTCCTTTTTTCTTTTTTTTTCTCTCTCTCCTGCATTCCTCATACCTAATCTTGTTCTTTTTGTCCACTGTATTCTACTTATTTGCTCAGAATCAGCTGGAGGTACTCCAGCTGTTTATTCTATAAATACACTTTTCATGGTGGCACCTTGTATCTTAAAGAATTTACTGGGGAAAAGCATAGAGAAAAAGAGAAATTAGAAGTAGGGGAGGTGTTTAGTAGTACAATGGCTAATTTTTCTTTATTGGCTAACTTATTTCTTTCTAAATTTTCTAATTTATTGAATTATCAAGATTGGTCACAATGAAACCCAAGTGTCCAGTTCAGATCTAACATATAAAAACAAGTTGTGTTTTTTTTTAAATTAACAAGCAAGTTTTCAATATGAAGTTTGGGCAGTTTTCATTATTACTTTCATTATTATTTATTACTCCTGTTTCTCACTTGTCATGATTTCCTGACTTCCTGAATCATTGCAGAGAAAATTAGTCTCTTCTGTTTTGTTGTGGGGTTGGGGGTGGGGTGGGGGGTGTGTGTTTGTTTTTGTTTCCTGCTATGGTTATTCTAACATAGCCCAATGGGAAAGATGTGTTTAGTAAAGGGCGAGGATAGGATACTGAAAACATTGAGCTCATGTTTCTCACTTGTCATGATTTCCTGACTTCCTGAATCATTGCAGAGAAAATTAGTCTCTTCTGTTTTGTTGTGGGGTTGGGGGTGGGGTGGGGGGTGTGTGTTTGTTTTTGTTTCCTGCTATGGTTATTCTAACATAGCCCAATGGGAAAGATGTGTTTAGTAAAGGGCGAGGATAGGATACTGAAAACATTGAAATTGGTACTGTGCCTTGGGAACATGTATAATGCCTTCAGGTTTTAATCTGGGATTTTGAAAATGGAAGTAGTGGCAAGGAATACCTTAATACATTGAAAGCAGTTGCCAAAATCTATTTTCTCCTGTTGCACTTCATGCAAGTCCACAGTATATCCTTTTTTAAATGATGTATTTGATTGGAAAATCTGAGTGCAACTTGCTGAAAACTTCAGCAGCTTTGCTCAAATATCTTATGTAGGCAAATAAAATATTGATGCTATATATGGCCCATAAATTATCTAATAAAAGATATATGATGAGAGATATTTTTAAGTCCTTTTTAGATTTTTTTGTTTGTTTTTGTTTAGGAAGTCTTAATCTTGTGGCAAACTTGTATTTTATCAGTCTACTAAGATGTGCAATTTGTGCATCTCTGCATAGCATTACTTCTGATGTACTTACTTGATAGTTACCTCGAGTTTTTTGTCTTTATTTCAGGAGATACTGTTTAGCTGTTTGTTGAGTATTACCGATCAAGTCTTACTTCCATCTCTTTCTTTGATGGACTGCAATGCATGCATGTCTGAAGAATTATGGGGAATGTTCAAAACTTTTCCATACCAGTACCGGTGAGTAGAATAACTTGTTTCCATTCTTTCAAAGTGGTCTCTTGAATTGTCAGTACTAAAAATAGTTTTCCTTTACAATCTTTCAAGGTACCGTCTTTATGGGCAATGGAAGAACGAAACGTACAATAGTCACCCACTTCTAGTGAAAGTTAAAGCTCAAACCATAGACCGAGCCAAATATATCATGAAGTAAGTTGTCTAATTCCATAAATAATTATCAACTGTGATACAGTGTATTGCATGTCACCAAAACTTGACAAATACATTCCGTTTCTGACTCAGTAATTTTACTGATTATCCTTGCTCATGGAGTATTTAATGTACTGTGATTAAAAACTGTCAAATAAGTAAGGATACAGACAGATTTGTCACCAATAAGGGTATTTCATCTGTGAAAAATGTCCCATTAAATTATTTAAAACCTTTTCCATGGGTGTGCTGCTGTTTGATTAAATTGCTTTGCTTATGCAAATGTCAAGAGTGCAACATATTTTCTCTAGGTATGGAGACTTTTTAATCTGAAGAGTCTCAAAAGTCTTGTCACCGTTTCTACAGGTTTGGAAGTAGGGCAATAAGTTGAATTGAAGGGAGCGATTCATTCTCATCTTCAAGTGGGCTCACAACAATTTCAGATTTCCCTCACACTTAACGTCTCTGACATCATTGTCGGGGATTTGGGTTCTCCATTTGTTGTTGCCAAAAGCAAATGCTATGGTTTTATAATGTGGATAACTAGAACCTTTCTACATAGGCAAGACAGAATAATTGTTACTGGGTAAAAGACTTTGGACTTGCAGCTGTGAAAGCTAGAAACAATGATTTTGATATTCTCCTGACTTGCTGCATAGCTAGCATAGACCATAAAACTTTACATCCCTTCTCTTGTACGGTGGATTTCAGTTGTGCAGATGAGCCACAGTGCTGTCAGTTGTTGAGATTGCTACGTGTACAATTTCCTTCTGTGTATCGACTTCAGGTTTCATGTTAAGCTCATATCTTCAGTAGGGAATGCTGTGGAAGCGTAACACAATGAAATTAATACTGTTTTTCAATGAACTGAATGCAACAAATGCAAAATGACTGATATGTGGCTAAATTAAATGTGCAGGAGAGATTAACAGCATCGCAGCTATTTTTATATGTGGTATAGGTCCCACTGACAACTTCCGAATGCAAAGTGCTCCAAGTTGAAACTAGAATACAGTCCATAGTAATATAGGGACAACTGGTTTGTTTGTACTGTCTGCACGTTATAGGATTATAAATTTCAGATTCCCAGAGGAGTAATATTTCTATGCTTAAATTTCTTAAAAACACATCTGCCAGTGAGAATTTAATCTCTGTGACTAACAAAGGTGTTTCTTCACTGGCACTAACCTGTTGTTTGAGTATTCTTTTAGCTTGTCTGTTGCAATAAAGTATGTTCTTTTTTACAGGCGTTTAACTAAGGAAAATGTGAAACCCTCTGGAAGACAGATTGGGAAGCTCAGCCACAGCAATCCTACAATTTTATTTGATTATGTAAGTAGTTACATGTATTTGAATACTATTTCATCCTAACAATAGATATTAAAGTATGGGAAGGGACCTGCTGTCTTAGTGAGAGGGCAGTTCTAATTTCATTATTTTTTACTTTTGATGCAAATTTTAAAATATGGTAATTTATTAGTAGTGCACAGGTCTGAGATACTATATGTGACAATAGCTCTTGAATAACCACAACTGCACAGAAAATTACATCCACTTATTTGTAGGAGCAAAGTATTTAATTTGGGATAGCTGAGGTGGGTCTCAGAGATACAGGGATGTGCTGATCAGGTTATGCAGAATGCAAATTCAAGAAAACATAAAGCTTTGAAGTCTGAAATACAGCTACGAAGTCGGGGAGGATTTTTAAGATTACGTGGTGCTACAGAATGCTTGAGAGGTGTAAAAGTATGTTGATGGACCTCCACCTTATTCACAAATGTGACTTGTGATTATTGATCTACCAGTTTTCAGATTTTACTTGAAGAAACTAATACTGCAATACACACGCGCGCACGTCATGTACCAAAGGGAACATTGTAAAATTTGATTAATACAGTTTACTTGTATTCTTTCATGACCTAGGTTCATTTTTTTTTTTTTAATAGTCTTTTATTATTAAGTAGCAACAGAAACTCTTACTGCTAAGGTTTAGGATTCTTAAGAAATCTTAGAAGAAAATGAGTGGAATGTTTTTGCAATTTTATTTTCTATAATTGAAAAGAAAAATAATTATACAGAATTATTTTTACATGTTAGAGATGTTTCACTGATATCTCTAAGGTACTAGGTAAATTAATGAGATAACCTATTACTTTGAAAGTGGTTTAGGACCTTCTGAAAAAATTAATTTCAAAGGCTGTTTTGTGTAGGTTTTGAAGACAAGCATTGTTAAATGGTTTTAATTTATTATGTGAAAGATAAGGAATACTGTTCCTGTTCAGCTGAATGTCTTTTGTAACTTTCAGATTTTATCACAAATACAAAAATACGATAACTTAATAACTCCGGTGGTTGATTCACTGAAATACCTCACTTCACTGAACTATGATGTTTTGGCATGTATCCTTTTATGTGAATCAATATGTCTAATTACTGATAAAGTTGCAGTTGTAGCCAGATTAAATCTGTTGTCTGTGAGTAAATGTTATCTTCTATTGTTTTCTATTATTGCTGCTTTTTGCTGGAAATTTTAGTGATGTTTGCAAATATGTTTGCACTCTTAATGGGTCACAGAACCCTCTCTATCTGTTCTTTCATGCTATTAAAATTATACTTTACTTTAAAGGGTTTTCTTACTACTTTCACTCTGTTCTTGAAGGCATAGTGATCCTGTAAATGCTGAGGTAAATACTGCATTTTAAGTTACGATTTCTTTCATGATTTTATTTTTTTATACTGTAACTATGTTAGTGGATCCTCTATATCATGCTTGCTATACTTGCATATCATGTTCATATATTACAAATTGTGGAGCTGGAAAAACAGGTCTGTGTAACTTTTGTTTTTACAAATCGAGGAAAAATATTCTCTTTAACTCCACTAAAGACTGTATCATTGAAGCTCTGGCAAACCCTGAGAAGGAGAGAATGAAGCATGATGACACTACAATCTCGAGCTGGCTGCAGAGTTAGTATTCTTGTTTTATTTATTACATTAATGTTTAAAATACTTCACCTTCCCTATGATCTACCATACTATTGATCATTATGATCAGTATTTCGCTTGGATCTACCACCTAATTTTTTAAACAAAACAGAGAGCTGGCAAGTTTAATCAATAGGAAAATATTTTTTCTTTGTATTACAAAAATACATATATTGCTAACATTCCACGTGTACTTCGTTAATCCTTATTTAATGATTAGTATCTCATGAGGTGTAGTCACAGCTGTTTCTCCTTGCTTTAGGTCTGGCTAGCTTTTGCGGTGCAGTTTTCCGAAAATACCCAATTGAACTTGCTGGTCTACTTCAGTATGTAGCCAACCAACTGAAAGCTGGGAAAAGGCAAGTCTTGTAAACTGATCTTTATAAACTCAATTTTTATAATGTATTATTTGGGTGTTTGCTGATGCATGGGTGCTCAATGTAGTAGTCACTCTAGTAGTGGTAAAACTCCATCCATAATACCAGGAAGGTTAAGAAATTTAAATAGCAGAAAGAATAATATCCTCTTTAGTACATTATTTTTCCTCTAATTGTATAGCTGTGACATATTATTTTTGAAGTACTGATTTTTCATCTGTAACTGATTTTAATGCAGTTTTCTTAACAACTAACCAGACAGGGAGAAAACCCTGCTGGTCTGTAATATTGTCATAGAAATTATTGTATGTTATTTAAAAAAATAAGTATCCATGATATAAAAGGGTGTGACTGTTAACAGTTTTAGTTTTTTCTTTCGCATAATGTCTTCTCTGCAGGGATGGCTCTTAACATTTAAATACTATTTTAAATACTTTGTCCAATTTATTTAATGGCAGTTGAATGGCTTCTTGGTACATCAGTGTTAATCATAACTCAAAAAAATTTTTCAAACAAGGCTTGCAATTTGAATCTGTCTTTTCCTTTTGTCCTACCATTGTCATCACTTAGCATTGTTTCATTTATTTATTTAATTTTAATGTGTTATTTTTATCACATAGGTGAGTATCAAATTTTTTCTATTATGAATCCCTATATTCTTCTTGAAAGACAGCTTACCAGTGGAGATAACGGAGCATGTTATTTTAGGGTATTTATGTTGAGAAATCTAGTTCTGCAATGTAGACACTCAGTCTCATGTGCTCCCCTGTCCCCAATTTGTTTTGTATTCTGATGATGGTACAATAACATTGAGCTACAGAGGAGGGGTAAGTAATGTTTCTTGTCTTTCCCTGGAAGTAAGTATTAAGACTAAGTATTTTGAAAAAAATCAATTTATTTTTAATATTCAGTTTAGTATTTGGGATCATAGGGAAAAAAAATGGATTTACCACTATAACCAGTTCCATAGGACTGGAGTATTTAGGTATTTGAATTGGAGTATATGCTGGTATTGCATAGTTCCTGGACAGAAAACATACTTATGGTAGGAACAGCAAGCAAAAATATAAACAATATGAATTATTTAAATATAAAACTCTGGTTTGGAGGGCATGGGTCAATACTTTTTATAAGTAGGTCACATAAATTTCAGAAGTTACTGGAAAATACTGCTGATTTTGAATGATCATGATACAATTTACTGTACTTCTGTTGAGGAAAAGTCATCGCCCTTACAGAACTCAGAGCAGGAAGTAAAGCCTAGTCTCTGGAGTGTTTTGTATATTCTGTGTTTTAAGTAAAAAATGTTTTCCATGTTCCAAATAACCTCTCCAGACTAATTTTGCCAGTAAATTTCTAAGGCCGTGTACTATTGTAGAAATTTTTAAGAAAATTTAAAATATTCCATGTTCATGAAATAACTGTATAGATACAGTATGAAGTATGTAAAACAACAAAAGGGAGCAATAAATTTTATGATTAATTTGTTGATACTTAAAAGCTAATAACACCACACTCGCTGTTATTTTCAAAAACAATGAAATTGTTCTGAAGGGGTTCTGAAATCCAGCTGTTGAATGCCTGCATTGTTTTTAAGTACTAACTTTTTACTTGCAATAAAGAAATCCCTGTGTGCTCAGCATACTAGTTTCTTCTTCAAAAAAGAATTAATGTTATTTAACATGCATCATAGCGTTGCTTTGTACTGTGTATTGAATGACGTAGCTTCCATTTCTTAAACATATAGCTTCCATTTCTTAAACGTATTTTCTTGTTTTTACTCCACTTCTCTGTTTTCTGTGCAGCTTTGATTTGCTTATTTTAAAAGAGGTAGTGCAGAAAATGGCAGGGATAGAAATTACAGAAGAAATGACAATGGAACAATTGGAAGCCATGACTGGTGGAGAACAACTAAAAGCTGAGGTGTGTTTGTGTTAAATTTAATTAATAATAGCTATTGCTTATTAACGGTGGTTCTAAAGACTGATTCATGAACTCTGGCAGCATAGCTGAGAAAGGTGTTACTGCTTTCATCAGAGAGCTTCCCACTGCATTGAGCTTACAGGCCTTGCAGACAAGGCAATGTATACATGAGCCTTAATTGTGTTTCACAGCATCTCATATTAACGAAAGTAGCCTTTGTTATCCAGTGTTATATGACAGACCTGTCAATTATAGCAGCCAGTGAGCTTGTACGTTGTGCGGTCCTGCTGTTTTAGCCCTGCTCTGGGGGTAGCAGCTCGCTGTTGAGTAGAGTAACATCTTAAACCATTTTAACAGCTAAAGCTGTTGCAGCCTTGGTGTCAAAGACCTAGTTGAGTCTGACCTACGCTCAACTCCCTAGTGAGTTGAATAGCTATAATCGGAACTAAAATCTGAAATTCCTGTATTGAACAGAGAAGAGACTTTGAGCAGATGACAGCAGACCTAGGTCTAAAATGCAGTGTCATGATGCCTGAGCTGAAATATCACTCTTTGTTTACTGTGTAAAAGACAGACTAATAGCATGCAAGACTAGTTAGTTTCTGAGTCTTACATACATACATTGAAGTACAGGATCCAGAGAGAGTGTTTTATTGATGGACAGGAAACTGTATTGGTGTTAATTCATCAGTATTTCTGCAGTCAGAAGCACACATGGTTTCCATTTGTGATGCACTGTTTCCAAACTTGGGTAACTTTTTCTGTACTATACAGGGTGGATACTTTGGCCAAATCAGGAATACAAAAAAATCTTCTCAGAGATTAAAAGATGCATTATTGGACCATGATCTTGCCCTTCCACTGTGCCTGCTTATGGCTCAACAGAGAAATGGTGTGATCTTTCAAGAGGGAGGGGAAAAACATCTGAAGCTGGTGGGAAAACTGTATGATCAGGCAAGTAAAAACACTTGCATTTATAAGAACCCCTCCTTTTCTTTGGTAACTCCTAGTGTATCAGCACAACATATAAGAGTTCAGCACAATAAATACGAACGTGTAAGAATTTTCAAAATTAGTTACAGTAATCTCATTATTAAAATATACGGGTGTATTAAATAAATACTATATTGACAAGTGACTTCTGAGTGAAAGATAAAACATCCTTTGTCGTGAAAAGTTAAGTTCTTATTTCTTAAGTCAGCTATTATATTTTTCTGATCTTACTTTGTTAGAGGAAATTTATTTCTTCCCCCCGCCCCCCAAAAAAAGAAGCAGGCTGAATTCCTTTGCCGCCTTAGGCAGTAGGAACTAGTTTCATTTCATTCTGGTAGAACAGAATGCTCTTACAGTTCTGCTGGCTTTTGTAGGGCTTTTTTTTTTTTTTTTTGACTCCCATGTGGCATGGAAAATTTATCATCTCTACCCCCATAAGAAAATTCTTCCTGTACTATGTGTTGTTAACTTAAAAAAAAAAAGAGAGAGAGAACTTTCAAGCATTCCCTAAGTTCACTTTTGAACAAAATACTGTTTTTGCTAACTTTTTGTATCTTTCACATGTAGTGCCATGACACCCTGGTACAATTTGGTGGGTTTTTGGCATCCAATCTAAGCACAGAGGATTACATTAAGCGAGTGCCTTCTATTGACGTTCTCTGTAATGAATTTCACACACCTCATGATGCTGCATTTTTCCTCTCAAGACCCATGTATGCACACCATATTTCAGTAAGTAGAACTCTTCTGTTTCCTTGCTGTTAGTGCTGCTGTATTACGTGTTATCAATATATGTGTTAGGTTCCTGCTAAAGTTTGTTTGCTAAATAAAACTTGCAGAAGCTTTATGAGTAGAGGTAGAAAGAGAAGCTGTGGGCTGGAACAGGTTATACTTTATCTTCATATAAAATATGGCCCATGTGTCAGCTTTCACACAACTGACAGAAGTTGTAGCTAATGAAATCATCTCTTCTGATGATTTGGGTGATCAGTAGGAGTTCTCTCCCTCCCTGTTCCCCCAAATGTGTAAGTTCTTCTGTAGATGTTTTTCCTCCACAGCAAAAATCCATATAAATGTTGCAGCTGCCAAAAGGTGTGGTATCTCAGGAACTATCAGAAATAAATTTGTCCCTGCATCTAAAATGTTAAATATCGAGAGCAATTTTTATTTGGTGTAGTATAATGTGTTACTATAACAACAGGTAGCAGCATCAGTGAAGAAAGATAAATCCATCCAATCTGGATGAATACTGAAAGTTCTGTACGATGTTCTTCAGTGCTTTATGTACATAAATGACATTTCACATGTGTAAATGCTTGTTATATAGAAAGGTTTTTGAGAAGTTAAGTTATATTGTAAAAGTTAAATTACGTTATGTACAAAGACTACAAATTTTTCATTTTTTTTAATCCACAGTCAAAGTATGATGAACTAAAAAAAGCTGAGAAGGGAAATAAACAGCAGCACAAAGTTCACAAATATATTACATCGTGTGAGCTGGTGATGGCTCCTGTTCATGATGCTGTGATTTCTCTGCACCTTCCCAAGGTTTGGGATGACATCAGTCCTCAGTTTTATGCTACATTCTGGTCTTTGACAATGTATGACCTTGCCGTCCCACATAGTAGCTATGACAGAGAAGTCAATAAACTTAAAGTCCAGATGAAAGCCATAGATGACAATCAGGAAATGGTATGTTTATATAATTTTATGGTCCAGTTTAAACTTTCTAACCTTGAAAGACTTTTTTTTGTGAAATGTTATATTAAGGTCCTTTAGATCTGGGAGATTTTGTCAAATCGATTCTGATTTGTCACATTCACATAGTTTGGATTGACTCTTCCTTATAATTCCCACATTAAAAGTACCAGTGACTTCACAAAGTGAAAATTAATGGAAAATCTGTGTTTCAGAAAGCAATCTTTGACACCTGTACCTGTGGTTTAGCTGTTCACTTCTGTCTTAACTTTAGTCGGCCAGTGTTCATAAAATCAGTTGATTACTAGAGCAGAACATTATTTAGTGAAATAGAAAGTTTTTCAGGTATTCTTTAGCATTATCAGGAATTCAATTGCTCTATCTATAGTAACTGTTAATATAATAGTAAGTGAGTTGCACTGACATTTTATAGCCTCCAAATAAAAAGAAAAAAGAAAAAGAACGTTGCACAGCTCTTCAGGACAAGCTCCTTGAAGAGGAGAAGAAGCAGTTGGAGCATGTGCAGAGGGTTCTACAGAGACTGAAACTAGAGAAGGATAACTGGCTTCTGGCAAGTAAGTGCGTGTAGGGGAAACATTCTGTATGTTTTTGTAGTCATCACTGTCCCCAGAGCTTAAAGTTCAGCTTGCACTAAGACTCTTAATGTTGATTTTAAAATTTGATGTCTTTATATGTTGAGGTCTACTAGCAAGGTAAACTTTTAATTAGAATGTAATGTGTCTTTACTGCAAATGCCGAGTAGTTGGGTTTCAGGGAGATGTTTTGTTTGTTTCTTGCAATGTCAAGACCTTTTAAATATTGCACTAATTTAGAAAATAAAGAGATTGACCAATTCAGTGGAAAGTTGTAATTGCAAGATGGCTTGCACTTATTTACTGCAGTTAGAATGCTGCTAAGTTAGGATAATCACTACGTTGCAAGAAATAGGCATGTAAACTTTCTATGAGTGGTTGGAGTTAACTTACTTTGTTTGAGTCCTGTGATTAGGAGCAATACGCCAGTGTTTGGGCAGTAACATAAACCCTCTTCCAATGACAAGATAAGTATTGTGCCAGCATAACAGCACCATGAAATGAAACAGCATGCAAATGTTTCATATGGCAGATATGCAGGAGGCAGAACAAACTTTTTTTTCTCTGACAAAGCCTCTGTAATGTTTCATATTGATTGTGAACTCTACTAGCATGGTTAATCTGAAATGTTTTTCTCTGGTCAGTTTTCTTCTCTGGAAGAACTTTCAGTTCGTAACTGGAAGTAGTTGTTCGTCTGTCCCAAGGAGCCTAGCATAACCCAGTGGAAAAGCGTTTTATTGTCCGACTCATGTAAGATACACCCAACTGATTTAATGAAGAAACATTGACAGTTAAATCAAGACCGGTTATTCCCTATAAATATTTAATGTACTGGTACGGACAGCGAATTAGCTACATGAAATCACTGGTTGAAAAATTACTACCTGACTGAAGCTTGGTCTTGAGCTGACTGGTAAATTTGTCTGCTTAAGGAAGCACTCAAAAGCATGTAGAAATTTGTTTGTGTAGCTATGATCTGTATATAAACGTGTACTCTGAATAATACAGGCATTTGTGGGGTACAGGGAATAGCTTATTGTTGGTTCCTGGATGCTCAGGCTTCAGCTGCAAGAAGTTTCCTAGCATTGCATCCAGAGATGAACTTAACGTTTTCAGCAGTTTCCCCATTGAAAGAAATTATCTGTAATTGTGCTATATGAGGAAATTGAACAGCACATCCACTGAAGTAGTACTTTTTAATTAATATTTTTAAAAATTATTAATATTTA